TGCTAGTGCATTTAACAAAATTGCAAAAAAGAAAAACCTACATTGGTCGCAGCGATATTCAGTAGATTCCTCAATGCGACCGAGACCTCCGAAAACCTCTAAACACAATATTTTAGAAGATCCAATCGTAGAAAAAGTCTGCATCGCTACAATATTTCATGCAAATCTAGGAAAACTGTATGAAAAAGCACAAGCTAGTGCAGCTATGCTATTTGCGTTTGTTGTGAACAACGATGTGCGAACGTGTAGCATTCCGCTGATCTAGCGTCTGCATAGAACTACAAGCGAAAAACATGCAATGATAGCAAAGCCACAACACAAGAAACTAACGCAAAAGTTAAGAGTGAAAATTTCGTACGCGAAGACGTTGGGAAATCAGCCGCAGAATCAACGAGCGGAGACGACAAAAAAACTGTTGTGCTGAACTAGCTGATATTTAACATGAACACAAGTTTAGAAGGCAAACTGACGATACATCCGGAATATGAACGTCCTTCAAGCTGAGGATATCCTCTTTCATCCATTCCAAGCCACCAGACGATTCGCACTCAAACACACCTATTTCCATCTAGAAGCAAGACTAGTAATATGGATTGCTCATCGAATAACCAAATACGCATACATCAGCGATGTTAAACGCATCTTCCAAATTTCGCGTCTTACTGTAGGCACAAGCAATTCTTCCGCAGTAAGCAGCAGATACAGAGAGGATTTTACCTGAGAGCAGCACATTATCAACACAAGCATAGAAGCCAGAAGAAATAAGCCAACTTCCACCTGCTAGCTTGAGCTCCGTTGGCTGACTGTTAATCATAGCCCATTTTCCCCATTCATACTTGATCTCAGCTTTTGCTTCAGCTCTTCTACACCGCCAGAACCGTAGCACATGATCTAGAACAACACAAATGGCAACACCAGCTTACACGGTCTGACAAAAAATGGCTGAATAAAACTGACCGTCGCTACTTGTACACAGAATGAACGGCGCTTGACAAAAAGGATAAAAAGTTGATGATGGAAGATGTCCGGCAGCAGGCACAGCAGCAATAACCTGTAGAAAACACCAGATACTTTCACATACGATAATGACTGAACAAGGTATA